AGACCTGGACTAGACAGAACTGGACCAGACAGACCCGGATCATATAGAACTGGACCACGTAGAACTGCAGATGAAGAACCACCTCTGGTTATGTTGACCTGACAGCACAGATTTATGTTTTTTGAATCTCAGTGTTTGTCTGAAGCAGAACTTCTGTATGAGAGCAGAACCTGTAGGTTTAGGCCTCAGTTATCAGAGAATACTTCTGGACCAGAAGAACTCATTTGGGCCCAAAGAAGGTCCACACTGAGGGTTCTGATGGAGGAGCAGTTTGCCACCAGAGCTTCCAGTTTGTCCCAGTCTCGGCTAACAGAAAACAGCGGCGTTGGTTCTCTACCTGTTCTTGTGTCAGACCTCTGTAGCGGATCCCTCCATCCCTCGGAGGCCGGATGATGGCACAGCCTGGATGGGGACATGAAGGACGCAGTGAGAGTTCTGCCCTCAGGTACAGTAGAAACATGACAGGAAGGCGAGTGGTTCTGGTTTCAGCTTAAACTCGACTCGCTGCTCAAACTAGACCCCCCCCCCCCCCCCGTCCGTTATCACGGAAGCACAGAAAGACTCTCTGCAAACGCCTCACCACAAACACGCTCCCATTACCTCCTGCTGATGAATTATGGATGGGCACGACGAGTGTTGGGAGAGAGCAGAGGATAATCAGGAACAATATCCGCGCCATTTCTGGATCTGGAAGACAGAGAGAGGAAGAGTTTAAAAATAGTAAAGGACTGGAAGGAGGAAAGACAAACAGGACATGAGGTTCTCATTGGAACAGCTCACATATGCAGACTTTTTTATTCACAAGCTTCAAGTTTTAGCTTAAAAGTTCATTCCAGTTTGCAGGAACATATTCCTGCATCTCCAGGAATATTTGTCCAGATTTCTACTTCCAAATCTAGTTTCCCATCAGGTTCATCTTCAGGACTTTATTGGCCCGAAGCTAAGAGCTCCTTCCTGGGAAAACATCAGATTAAACATGAGGAAAACTTGAGACCAGCCAGGCTGCAGAGATCAACCTTCACTTAAACAGGTTTAGTTTTAAGATTCCCTGGAAAAATGAGCATCTGAGGAAGAAAACAGGAAGGAGGTTTTCTAAGAGGGAATTTAGCAGATCACAGCGAGTAACATCCTAGGACGTCTCTAAGGGATGGTTCTTCATTATTTAGCTGCAGCTCACTTCAGTTTGACGTCAAAGACCAACCCGACAGGAAGCTGCTGGAATCCAAGTTAACCAAATTTTAACAGGTTTAAAGGAACGTTTGGGCCGATAACGGTCGGACGCTGTACGGCGTATTTAACGTGGTTCAAAAACATTTCTGAAATCTGTCAACTGACTGTCAGGTGCTACGGTAACTGCCTGATCACACCAACACTGCTCGTTTCATCCCATCACTCCTAAAGTGGTTCATATAGAGCGGATCATCTGAGCTAAAGCTCAGCCTAGAGGCAATAAAGGTCAGTCTGTAACTAGTACTGGGATATGACCAGCACTATGAGAGAAACACTGGTGACCAGTATTGGAAATGGAGCACTGACTTGTGTGTTTTATGAGTTAAAATGTTTCTTAAGCCAAGAATAAACCAGCATTTCATTCAAACATGTGAACTAATGACCAGAACAGTTACTGTCTGGTCTGAAAACAATTAAATGACCTCATGATTGTTATAAAGCACAAAAGGGTTTAGTTCTAGTGAAAAACAGGGTTTAGTTCTGGTGGAAAAACCGGGTTTAGGTCCAGTGAATAACAGGGTTCGGTTCTGTTAAAAAAAAAAGGATTTAGTTCTAGTGAACAACGGGGTTTAGCTCTGGTGAATAAGTAGGTTTAGTTCTTGTGAATAACAGGGTTTAGTTCTTGTGAATAACAGGGTTTAGTTCTAGTGAACATCAGGGTTTAGTTGTCATTAATAACAGGTTATTTCTGGTGAATAAATAGGTTTAGTTATTGTGAATAATAGGGTTTATTTCTAGTGAAAAAGAGGGTTTAGTTCTACTGAATAAAAGGATTTAATTCTGTTGAAATAAAGGGTTTAGGTCTAGTGAATAACAGGTTATTTCTGGTGAATAAGTAGGTTTAGTTCTAGTGAATAAGTAGTTTTAGTTCTAGTGAATATCGGGGTTTAGTTCTAGTGAATATCGGGGTTTAGTTCTAGTGAATATCGGGGTTTAGTTCTAGTGAACAACAGGGTTTAGTTCTGGTGAATAACAAGG